ATCAAGCAGCATATCCCAGACAAGCTGTACAAGAAGCCGCCTGACAAACGTGTGGCGACAAGTGATAGCGCCATCACAAAGCATTTGCAGGCGCAACCTGAGTGCATCCCGCAGGAACGCAACAGCAGCTTCAGTGTGATCACACCAGCCCGGAACAGCGCGCACAGATTCACACTGGAGGCGCTGTACATTCGCAGTTTGAGGCCAGAGCTGTGTCGACAAAAGAAGCACATCAAGGTGCTGCGGCTGTTCAAGCTGCAACCGGACTGACAACTTTATCACGTGTTTGTTCTGGTACTGCATTCCCTTCATGTGTTGTTTCCCGCATTTTTCCACTGCTCCATACATTCTTATGGTAGTGTAGTGTGAACTTGAGGCGCGTAAGAATATTCTTGCTGATTCTCTACCCCCAGTATAAATTCTGGCTTCGTTTTCGTTCTTGCTCATTCCCATGTACCTACTGATGAAAATGGGTGAAAAGCTTTTAGTGTTATGAAACTTACAACCTTGTTGTTGTGTGTATATAAATTTTGTTCGCCTACCTCTCTATTTATATATATATATATATATATACACAACAACAAGGTTGTCAGTTTCATAATACCAAAAGCTTTTCACCCATTTTCATCAGTGGTTACATGGGAATGAGCAAGAACGAAAACGAAGCCAGAATTTATACTGGGGGTAGAGAATCAGTATATAGAAAACCGACGTTCACAGGTCTTTACACCCGCTGGGACTCGTTTTGTGACATTAGAAACAAAATCAATTTGATCAGATCATTAACTTTTAGAGCTAAAACCATCTGCTCACCATCACTATTATCAGCTGAAATTGCTAAGCTAGAGGATATTCTGTGTTCTAACGGTTACCCACTCAAAGTACTCAAGCGAGTCATGACAAGCGTTCTTGAACCTAGCCCAGATACAGCTTCTGCACAACTTGAACCTGCAACGCGTATTATCACAAAATTGCCGTGGAAAGGGCAAAATTGCATTGCCTTCCGCAAAAAGATTAAAGCTGCAATTTTGAACTGCTATCCTACAGTATCCCCCATTGTAATTTATACAACCAGACCCGCATTCAGGTCTATCGCGAAGGATGTTTCACCAACTCTTGAAAATAGTAATTTTATTTATAAGTATGCTTGTCGCTGTGAGCGGACGTACGTTGGTGAGACATGTCAGCGATTCTCGGAAAGGATCAAGCAGCATATCCCAGACAAGCTGTACAAGAAGCCGCCTGACAAACGTGTGGCAACAAGTGATAGCGCCATCACAAAGCATTTGCAGGCGCAGCCTGAATGCATCCCACAGGAACGCAGCAGCAGCTTCAGTGTGATCACACCAGCCCGAAACAGCGCGCACCGATTCACACTGGAGGCGCTGTACATTCGCAGTTTGAGGCCAGAACTGTGTCGACAAAAGAAGCACATCAAGGTGCTACGGCTGTTCAAGCTGCAACCGGACTGACAACTTTATCACGTGTTTGTTCTGGTACTGCATTCCCCTCATGTGTTGTTTCCCGCATTTTTCCACTGCTCCATACATTCTTATGGTAGTGTAGTGTGAACTTGAGGCGCGTAAGAATATTCTTGCTGATTCTCTACCCCCAGTATAAATTCTGGCTTCGTTTTCGTTCTTGCTCATTCCCATGTAACCACTGATGAAAATGGGTGAAAAGCTTTTGGTATTATGAAACTGACAACCTTGTTGTTGTGTGTATATAAATTTTGTTCGCCTACCTCTCTATTTAAATATATATATATATATAGAGCTCACTGACTTGTCAGTTTGAGCACTCTGGCAAGGTACGTTCGGGCCTGATTGGAAATTTTTATTTCCATTGCTATCAGGTTCGGCCTCATTTCCTCTGTGCTGCGCTGACGAGTCCACAAAGGACGAAACAGTTCTGTCCGCAGATTGAGTATATATATATATATATATATATATTGAGTTTAGAGCTAATGTTTATTTGCCAGTAATCCTCTGTAGAGATTGCGACGAAAACGTTTAAGAACAAGCTTCGTTATTTACATGAAAACAAGTTTTGCTCATGGTGTTTGTACTGAGTGCGCAGCTTACTCTATTTATTGCGTTAATTACATTTTTATCCCCACGGAAGCTTTTTAATTATTATTATTATTAGGTGCCAGTTCTCTCAGTAGGACGTTCATGACATCCCCAGCCCACAGACTTGTGCTTGGGCAGAGTGCGCAGCTTGCGGGAGACTTCGTGCTGGGTTATGTTAAGCAATTGACACTGGAGATCTGGTGTAAATTGTGCTGGCGGTAGGGTGCTAGCATACGGGTCAAATGATGGGTGTGGGGAGAACTCGATTTTGAAGCACCGGGCCAGTGCTTCTGCTTTAGAAGAATCACAAGCCGCATCTCCACATTCATCAACCAGGGTCAGGATGGTCGCTCGTATCTTGCTGATCTGGGCAATTGTATTGGCCTCGGCCAACGGAGACTCGATTTAGGCTAAGGCCTGTGGAGAATCCAAAAATTATTATTATTATTATTATTATTATTATTATTATTATTATTGCTTGCATGTACGCGTTGGAGTCAATCATTGAAGCATGATTCACAACTTCGCTTATGCTGAACATGATAAACAGAACTATGACAGGGGAATTATTGAGCTAGAATGGAATCCAAAATACAAATACAAAACACAATACAATTTGTAAGAGTTTGTGTCGCTACCAATCCGCAAGCAAAGCTCTTCAAAATAGTGGGATTTGCTGCGTTCAAGACTGTTTGTAAGAGCATTTCTCACCATCTTGTACGCTATCCAGTCTTCCAGTGCTTTCGTTCTCTGGGCTAATTTGAAAATACGGTTTTTTTTCCGGTGCATTCGCTTGTGCTGGGCAGTGAACCAATGCTTCGTGGTCTGCTTTCTTCCCGACTTCAATGTTCGCATGGCCAAGTGGCGCTGGTTACTCCCATTGGTATAGGAGTGCCAAGAGTGCCAGGCGCTTTCCATACAACTGACGCCACCTATGCACTCTCGGAGGGGCTGAAACCAGACGTCCGTTCTCATAGCCTCAAAGTACTGGACAGTGGTTGGAGGGCGGAGGCAGTACTTCGGGAGTGGTGACTAGATGGGGAGTATTGGTGATGACAAGGTCAAGCAGAGCCGGAGGCGATCGATCTGTTTGCGCGTAACAATAGGGTGTGTGGGTGATGAGTTGGTGAAGACCCAGGTGGCTGTTTTGCCAGAGCTTGAAAATTGGCACATTTCGAGATGATCATTTGTGGCATCAGGGGGTGATGGCCCTGGTCTTTCAGGATCATGGCGGGGCTAAGCGATACTGGTCCAGGAAGTCTTCGAAGGTGAGGCAATGTTGGCTTGATGGAGTTTTGTTCGTAGCTTGTTTGTAAACGCTGTGGAGTGACTTTTTATTGGAAACATAAAAATGTGATATTTCGGCCATTGCTGAGGGGTATGGTAGTTTCAAGGTTCCCTGAAACTTTTTCAAGGGCTTTGCACAATCGATAAACACCCCAACAGGAACGTACCTGGAAATGTTGAGCAAAATCGGAGAGATCCACTAGCACACAAACTTTGGTATTCTCAGACATGCTCTCTTAATACTCTTTATAGCGTGTTAGTTCCCGTAGCTATGCAGAAGACATTACTTCAGTAAAGTCTGGCGCTAGCCAGGGTCCACACAGCTTTAATTTGGTATTTGTGTGTTTGTTTGTTTGTGTGTTTGTGTCACGCCTGGCACTACTCCGTATCTGTCCCTTACCATACCGTACCACCAAACACAGCTGGCCACATACAGCTGGCCGCAATATTCAAATAGGGCTTTCAAACGCAAGATCATAACGTGAAGCAACTTGGAAGAATGGGTGTGAATGCAAAGTGTATGGGGGGATGCATCTAGGGCGATAGTGCGGGTTCGAATCCCAGGATATGCCTGAAAAAAAAATAGGAGAATTGAAAAAATTATAACATCCCTATGCTTTTTTTGCCGTCATCAAGGCGGTAGACGGTGTCGTATTACCCTCGATCGTACCTGTCCCGTACCTATCCCGTACCGTCCCGTACCATCAAAAACCGCTGGCCACAATGCATAGTCAAATAGGGCTTTCAAAGAATTTTATTTTTATTTATTTTATTTTATTTTTTTATTTTTTTTATTTTTTTTCAGACTAGATGTAATTTTGGTTGATAAATATGGTGGTAAAGACACACCTGGCAATATGGCGGTAAACACACGCCTGCCCACACCCGCTCTCTAGGCTGCAAAGTTCTGGCACAGAGCTCTCCTTCTCACCACCACCACCATCAGTTCGCGCCTGGCGCCTGGTCGATGCATAGCAGGCTGGTACATCAAGTAGCGCATGGTACATAGATGATGACACAGCAACGACATAGCTCGATTGCGACGTACGTTTCGTCCCCGCTGGACTCATCAGGCAATCTTCTTCTTGGATGTCTTCATACGGAGCTTGACTCGGGAGAATGAAGTTGAAGACACCACTGCAGCTGTACTTATGGTTGATAAATATGGTGGTAAAGACACACCTGGCAATATGGCGGTAAACACACGCCTGCCCACACACGCTCTCTAGGCTGTAAAGTTCTGGCAGAACTTTGCAGCCTAGAGAGCGAGAGAGCCTAGAGAGCCTAGAGAATGAGAACCTGCACTAACGACAGTTCACTTTCGTCCCAATGCAGGCCACCGGCTTCTACCTTGTCTTGATGCCTCAAAGGCGACTGGATCGGACGATAGTTCCGCTCCTGTCTTGGAGGAAAGCACCAGGGAACTTGTAAAGAAACTATCTCAGCTCTTTGCTTCCAAAAAAAGAATTCCACATGGAAAAGTCTTCCACAAGCCGAGTCAGATTCGGGTCGTAAAGGGTGGGGGAGGGTACATCAGATCAATCAACGAGGTGCCAAATCCCGAAATCCCATTTGCCTCATCTCAATAGAACAGAACTACTCAAAAAATGTGTTTTCCAATACATACACACCATGACTTACAGTTCAGTTAATTGGGTTGTGGCGTCGAACAGCCCGGCGGGTAGGTTAACAAGTTTATTTTCATTCAATTGCCTGGGAGAACAAAGTAGAACTTGGATAAGTTGTAAATCACTTCCTGGAAGAATTTCCTAATACTCTTTAGCGTGCTACTGCCGTGGACATGGAATTCCGGTCGTTGGTCAAGCGACCCATAGGCGCTGGCCCTGCAGCCGTGAGTACGCATACCGTGCACACATTCATATGTGCGCTGCAGCCCTGCTGGTACACCTTTGGATTGTGTACGTGGTGGTAATAGTCATGAAGATGGTTGCTCCAACGAGCAGCACACACTTCTTGCCAAACTTGACACTTGATTGACTCACGACTGCCACCCGAAGCACATGAGGGGCGCGTCGCACCTTCCACTCGGCAAACCTGAAAGAAAGCACCGAAGAGTCTTGAGTCAGTCAAGTGTCAAGTTCGGCAAGAAGCGTGTGCTCCTCATTGGAGCAATCAACTTCATGACTAACACCGCCGAAGTCGCAACTTGTAAGTTTGTATTTCAGATGTGTATTTTACCGAAGCCTGCTGGCTTCTAGGAGGAGGAGTCGAATGGTGTGACAGTTTTCACCTTTGTGTTAGTTCTCACCTTATACGTGTTACTATCTCGCACTATTGCGCTTGCATCTTCTATTATATTAATTAATTTGTTCATTGAAAGATCATTCTTCACTATCAGTTTATCAGTCTGTTACAATGATCGCAGGGGATAGTCAGGGACTGTGTGGAGTGGTGTACACTTCAGCTGGAACTCTCTCTCTCTATCTGTCTGTCTGTCTGTCTGTCTGTCTCTCTCTCTGTCTCTGTCTCTGTCTCTCTCTCTCTCTCTCTCTCTCTCTCTCTCTCTCTCTCTCTCTCTCTCTCTCTCTCTCTCTCTCTCTCTCTCTCTCTCTCTCTCTCTCTCTCTGTCTCTCTCTCTGTCTCTCTCTCTCTCTCTGTCTCTCTCTCTCTCTCTCTCTCTGTATGTCTCTTTCTCTGTCTCTCTCTCTCTGTGTCTCTGTGTCTGTGTCTCTGTGTCTGTGTCTCTGTCTCTGTGTCTATCTCTGTGTCTCTGTTTTTCTGTCTCTCTGTCTGTCTATCTGTTTTTCTGTCTATCTCTCTCTCCCTCTCTCTTACTCCCTCTCTCTCTCTCTCCTCTCTCTCTCTCTCTCTCTCTCTCTCTCTCTCTCTCTCTCTCTCTCTCTCTCTCTCTCTCTCTCTCTCTCTCTCTCTATCCGTAACACTCTGAACATTATATATTTGTGTAGATGGTGAGCTACGACAGGTACTGGCTACAGTGGGGGGGGGGGGGGGAGACGTAGAGAAGGAGAACTCAGCCATGAAGCCGGCATGGTCTGGCGCGCCAAGACGAGGTAGATGTTGAATGTGGTTGAGTTGGATAGGGGTGTTGCTCGCGATAAGGTCTAGAGAGCTGCCAAGTCCAGATGTGCGGAGGTGGGTGGGAAAGGTCACCGGCTGGGTCAAATTATAGCGAGAGAAGAGGAAGTCAAGACTCAGACCCTGTATATCCGTCTGGTCAATGGGACACCAGTCGGAATGCCTACAGTTGAAGTCGCCTGATATCACAAGGGCTTTGGTCTTCCTTTGAGTTGATCGCAGGGCTATTTAACCCTAGAACTACCAGAGGCATCATATGATGCAGTTGTGAATTTCAAAATGGGATTGCTGTGATATGGGCAGTTAGAATCCCCCCACATTTTGTGACTTTTATTTATTTTGTATAGTGTTAGTGACCGTGGCCTGTATCTCCAAAATTTGAGTACTTTTCCGAAATGCCAGGGAGTGCTCTCTAGACCACCATATGACTCCACATGCTACAGGCATCAATAAGAGGGCGAATTTGGCTCAGAAACACACGTGAATATTGTAAAGAGGAATACGTTCTGGAGCAAGTAGATGGGGAACCATGCATGTGGTAATTTTTACATATGGAAATGCTAATATGCATGTATCACGTGTAGTTATGGTCAACACCGTAATCCTGAATGCTGTCGAAGCAGACAAATTTCTTCGCTCGAAGTGGTGGAAAATGATTCAATATATCATCTGGAGCATTGAATAACATGAAGTGCCAGCGCAGGTATAATATTCTTGGAACTTCCTTTCAGTTTAAGTCGGTCTGCTGGAAGCCATGCTCGGCAGGAGTAGTGTCGCTGCCGAAAGCAATTCATTTGAATCGGGGCACGAGTTTGGGGATAAATTCGAGGAGATTGACTGGATCATTGTGGGCGGAGAATTAGAAGGGACGGAACATAGAGACACGTAGTTATATGCTCCAGATGAACATGAGTGAATACTAATTGCCACGGCTTAAGTTGGTAGACAGTGCAAAATGTGTTACGCCAAGCAAGCCCGAAGGCACACAATCGGTTGTTGCTTCGGAAGTTCGCGGGCTTTTCCGGGATATTCACAATTTTGAAGACGGCGCAGATGCATTATACGCATTTATTGACCAGAATATGATCCATGTCATAACCAAATGCACAAGGCAGGAAGGAAAACATAAAATTGGAGAAGACTCTACTTTGAGTCAAGGCATTAATTAATTCTCATGGCATTGGTCTCGCAAATTTGAGCAAGAGGCGTCCTCTGAACCTGCAATAATCTGTCGACGGCCCTTCGGCTGGATAGGAATGGACGCCATAATTATAATCAAGTAAAATTCCTATAAATAGTTTCCAGGAACTACTCTGCTACTTGAGGATTGATCACAAAGATGGTCCCCGGACACGACGGCGTATGGAAATAATCTGTTTGCTATGAGTCGCGACACCACTTTCTCCTTTCACTCGTGATTGTATTTATCACAGCAGTCAAAGAATGACCAACCAGGCTGAGGAAAATTCAGCAAATTGGCAAAGCAGCAGCCATTTCCGGAGTAATGGACAGAAATGTAAAGTTTGCAGGATGAGCATGGCAAGCAAATGCTCTTCTATTTTTCCGTAAACTGACGAGATGTCACCCTTTCGCTGCGCGCAATGCCAGCTGTTTGTCCCCAAGATAGTGCACCTGTAATTGGTTCTTCCTTTTAAAAGGTACCCTTTACCCCAAGGACTTCCGTTTCAACATATATTGCCAAAAATAATACCAAGCAGGTGTGTTTAAGATCGGTGGAGTCACAATATGCCTCCGGTTATACTAGAGTAGTTGGAATTTTGATAGTTCTAGGCTTAAAAGTGGTCCAGAAAAGTCGAGAAGTCATCCGGCGATTGGAAAGGAGCACGGTGGATACAGGCTAGTGTTTTTTATTTCTTATATTTTTTACAAAGACCACTTCAATGCCTCCTTTGTTCCGGCGGTCTTGTCACCCAGTGGTGGAATGGGTCCAGCATTGTTGTGAAACCACAAGTTCTCGAGAGTGAAAGGCTTTCTCGCTTGTGACATTGTGTTCGTTCCGATGCAGCTGTATCCCGACTCCGCCAGACCGCTGATGTTTACGACGTAGTATACGCTACATGTGCTATGTGCGGTTTGCTGTGTGCGCTGTAGTTGTATGTTGTATGTGTATGCTTTTCTCATATACGCTGTCATTTTCACGCTATAACTACCTGGTGGTTTTAGTGTTAGTTATTCAGTTAGTTCAGTTCATTCAGTTGTTCCATTCATTGTTCATTGTTATTAGTCGATGGAAGTGAAAGATATTGTCGAGAATAAATAGTTGTCCTCGTGCCGTGTGGGGTCGTTCGTTCCTGACACTTTAGAGAACCAGAGGGTTCACAACATTTGGCGACCACGCCAGGATGCGAAGCGAGCATGGCACAGGAACTATGGATCATTGAAGCCAGCTTTATCGCCAACGGAATTCGGTATGGATTTGAAGGCGATAGGTTGAGAGAATACGTGGAGAAGAGGCTCCGACAGCGCGAGGAGTTTGAAGAGCACAGTGCTAGACGGCAAGAGGGTGCGCTCCGCACAGAGTTTAACGAAAAGCTCAAGAAGTCGGACGAGCGCATCGCCGTCAGTACATATTATGAGGAAGCAAAGCGAGATTTGCTTGCCTCGCCCAGAAGGACGCCGGACAAGGCGTGTAAGACTTTGCTTACAGACAAGCAGCGGTCAGAAGAGTATTCGAAGCCAGTGGGAGGATCAGATCCGAGGCCCACTGGGTCGGTACAGTGCATGGCGACATCGGTCGGAGACGCTCAGAAGCAGCTGGAGTCTCGGCCGAACGAGTTGGAGGCGCAAGAGTTGGAGGCGCAAGAGTTGGAGGCGCAAGAGTTGGAGGCGCAAGAGTTGGAGGCGCAAGAGTTGGAGGCGCAAGAGTTGGAGGCGCAAGAGTTGGAGGCGCAAGAGTTGGAGGCGCAAGAGTTGGAGGCGCATGAGTTGGAGGCGCAAGAGTTGGAGGCGCAAGAGTTGGAGGCGCAAGAGTTAGAGGCGCAAGACTTAGAAACGCAAGGCGTAGTAGCCGAGAAAATGAGAAGGGCGATACTACTGGTTAGCACGGAAGAAGTAAGCGGCGAAACTGTGTGGAACACAGAGATCCGATGTGTGTCCTCGGATTCCGCGCCCGCCCCGGGTCGAAGCAGTGCACCGGTGACCGGGTCGTGGGTGACAGCCCACATCGTCGAGCTTTATGACATTATCGGTTGTGTGTTGTCTGGTCCAGCGTCTGCCCCATGTCGAAGTGGATCGGTGACAGTGTCGTGTGCGACAGTCCACAGCGGCAAGCTTCGCGATGTCGAGTTTTCTGAATTGGTGGGCATTAGTGATATTCTACCATGGCCACCACCGCAGCAGCAGATGACGCGTAGTAAGCCCCAAATCGTTTGACTTGTGGGTTGTTGTACGGCGGTGAGAAGCCCTTTGGTGGGGAGAATGTTGTGAAACCACAAGTTCTCGAGAGTGAAAGGCCTTCTCGCTTGTGACATTGTGTTCGTTCCAATGCAGCTGTATCCCGACTCCGCCGTACCGCTGATGTTTACGACGTAGTATACGCTACATGCGCTATGTGCGGTTTGCTGTGTGCGCTGTAGTTGTATGTTGTATGTGTATCCTTTTCTCAT